TTGCGATTACAACTCAGGTCTCCCCACAGCTCCCCAGCACTGCTGAGCTCTATTCTCAAACTCTGTGACTTTCCTACAACCGTGGGAGAAACTTCACAAAATACCCATAAAACCAGCCCATGATTCTTCTGCTAATTCCTTCTCTGCCACACCTACAATCCTTGATGAGGTTTAGGCAGCAAACATGTCAAGTTCAAACCTGTCTTGGATTCTACTTATTCGTATCAGTTGGTTATCTCTCACTCCAGACAGACCATATTTCCACGGCATGGGAGCACCTCCGTGCTCTGCCGGCACAGCACCTAGCACAGCTTTGGGCACCAATTTATTCACTTTCAATTAAACAATATGGTAGCAGTTCACTATTTTTGAGGAGTAAGTTAGAGGATACATGTGACGATTTAAGAAAGTCACACAGGAGGAGCTGACACAGGGAAGGACGAGGGGCTTAGCTGAGCCAAATATCCTGCCTTGCACAGTGGATATGAGGCTACATTTGTCATCCAGGGTGCAATCCTGAACACACAGAGCTGGAGGAGGGGAGTCCTTCCTGACAACTGCACTGATTAGCTGGTGCCCTGAAGAATGACGTCTGATTACCTTTATCTTCGGCTGCAGAACTGCAAATGTCACTAATGGTCATAAAATCATCCAGTCTTTTTCAAAATACAACCGAAGTAAATTAATCTATTGAGCACAGTTTATTCAATACTTCTTACTCTGGCAAAACTCCCAAAAAATCATTTGCTTGCTGCATGTCTCCACCATATGGTGTCATTCAATGCAGACTTTTTTCCTGCATTGAAATCCAAAATTTAATGGAGTCAAGTCACCTACAGAGTTTTTCCAGCTCAAACCTACTAATATAGTTTTCTGTCAAAGAGGTCACACAGCACTTTCCAGTTTGATACATAAACCAATACCAGCATGAATCCTCCTTTCATAATTAAAATCAAACTCCTCTGGTTTCAGCAGGTTTGAAAGAAGTATTTTGCCCTGTGCAGAGAAGAGCCAATGCCCAGCATTGGACAATGTCAGCAGTCTCTGTCTGGTTTCAGAACTTCAAGGTCTTGGCCAGTAACTGATATACTCTCCTATCTGCAGGTGATGTCTCATATCAACCTCTCAGCAATCAGTAAAATAAACCAAAAAACATGACATTGAACTGTACTGAAAACTAAAGCAATGAAACACATAATCCTTGAAAGCATTTTTTTATGGGGCCATCTTTTAAATACAGCCTTACTGCCAAGGAACAAGGGACAAAAGAAAGAATTTCTTAGGTATGAGGTACACCTAGAGCAGGCAAGACACAGATGCTGATTTTCCTAGAAACATGAGCTCAAGACCAGGAGAAAGATGCCTGGCTATGCATTTAGCTATGCTGGTATTTTATCCTCTTCACCAGATGTGCTTTATGTCAGCTAGACACACTGTGACTCAGTTTCCTCAACTATAAAACAGGGCCACACTTTGACGAATCTGGTTTTGACACAATGATGTCATCTTCAATCAATGGTTTTAGAAAAACACTGGCCATCCTCTGGCCCCAGCATCTATCAATAACATACCATGTCTTTTGGTAAAGATTGTTATTACAGTGACAAGGAAGCCACAAGCTGTGCTTCACACAGAATTTCCTAAACTTTGGAAAGCAGCATATCCTTTCATGTAGCAGCCTCCCTTTGCCCTTGCCATGCACCCACTGCAGATGCTGCTTAACGGTGCCAAAGACTCCAGCACTACACATCTCTCATGCTTTGCAGTTTTATGGCTCATCCTTCCCTCCGTGCTCCAACTACGACCTTCCACCAACCCTGCCCCACAGCTGTGAGAAATGCTGGTTCTGCTCTGCAGAAGAAGACACTTCCCCTCTGTACTTACTCACTTGGATGAACACTGAAATAATTTAAACCTCAGCATTAACCCTCTTATCACTGGAGCTGGAGCAACCAGTTGTTGAGGGGAGTTTAAGTGCTTCCCAGTGCAATCAGGACATGGCAGGAACATGCTCAGGGGCAGTTACCACAGCTCAGATGACAAGCAGTAAATTGTTACATCAAGCTGTCTGGATGATTTCTGACTGCTGACCCACACCCCCAGGCTTCCATAGCTGCTTTGGATATATTTGCTGCTGTTTCAGAGTTTCTACCACAAATGATTATTCTGTTTTAGTGAAAGTTGAGAATCTAGAGATAGTGCATTGCTCTCCAGTCCTCTGCCCAGTCCAGCCAGCCCACCAGGCACCCCAAAGTGCCACCCACCCTGCCTGAGAGGCTATAATTCAAAAAACAATTTCAAGAAATGGAAAATAGACAAAGAGGCAGTAAAATGTATCAAATAACATGAACACTGGAGAACACTCAGTCCATCCTCTCCGCACACAAAGCGCCAGGATAAGAGCAGCCAGATCCCAGACTACACCAGTTTATCAGGACATCATAGGGCAAGAGCAGATCTGGCAGCTGCAAGCCAAATGTGTCCCACAAAGCACTGTACTGCTGAAGGCAGCTGCTCTCATCTTTACAGCAGATGTCCATCCTGTGATGGCTTTGGTGTTTGGTGTGACATGCCCCATCACCAATTCATCTAAAGTAGAGAAGATCCCACAGGCTTTATCTCAACTTCCTTTTCTGTGGCCCAGCAGGTAGGGATGCAGCCAGAATTAACCCATCGAAGACGACAAGCTGCCTTTGGTGCTCTTGCTTACACCTCCTCCCACGCATGAATCCCTCTACTTGCATGAATCCAACTTGTGTCCACAGGGGTCCTGGACAAAATAAGGCTCTGCCCTTGGGAAAGCTCCTTCCCCATTGCTATTTCCTTCTGCTTGTTCTCTCTCCTCATGCAGCGTCCTCATGAGTGGCTCCACATCCACGGCAACTCTCTCTCACTACCCCTCACCCACAGCTCCAACCCCTCCTTCCTGTCATCGCTGCACTTTGCCAGCATCCCACTTGTCTCACCCCAACCACTCTGGCATCTAAACCCAAATTGTTTCCAAACCTGGATGACCCTGGTCCATCATCCCATCTCCTTCCAACCTCAGTTTAGACTGCACTACACCCTCACCACCTCTCCTGTCTCCCAGCATTGCCCTCCACCCAAGACACCCATTTTTTCCTTCAGTCCATGTTGCTACCTCTCAAACAATTTCTTTCTTTCTCCAACACTTCTTCTCTCCCTAGGATCTTTCTTTCTCTCATCAACATAAAACTCTACTTCCAGTCTTTCCCACAGTTTATTCTTATTTCTTCTTTTCAACCCAGACTATACCTCATCTTGCAAGCCCATGGCAGAAAACCCCAGAGCACATAACATCCCAGCAAACTATCCTAGCCAGCCAACTATTGACAGAGTTTTCCCACTGACTCACCAGACTGTCCATCCCACCCAGCTGGCAGTTTTCTTTCAGTCCCTTTGTCCTGGCCATCTCTGAACACCTAACCCCTTCATCCAGTCTCTCTCTGCCATGATTGAACTCCCCTTCTAAGTCTAAAAACCAGCCCTTCACCTTCAGCAAGCTATCTTCTAGCTCCCTCAATTCCTATAGCCAGAATTCAAGTCCTAGAGTGGCCTCCTCCCACCTTGGCTGGGCTGTCCAGTGCCCCTTTAGAGTCACATCTGCTCTTAGACTCTTCACAATCTCTGAACACTGCCTTCTATCCTTGCCTGGCCCTTCCATTACTCCTTCCCTCCTCAGGCCACTGCCATCCTGGTTCCCAGCCCTCCCAAGCAGCCACCCCTCCATCACACCTTCCACACCTTGACTGAATCAATTCCAAGCACACCGATTGCATCCCAGTGAAGACCCCCCCCACAGATCTTGAGCCTCCCAGCCTCTGTCTAGACCTGATTCACAGAATCAAAAAATCAATTCGATTGGAAAAGACCTCTGAGATTACCAAGTCACACTTATGACCAAACACTTAGATGTCAACTAGAGCATGGTACCAAGTGCCATGACCAACCTTTCCAATCCTTCCCTAAACACCTCCAGGGATGGTGACTCCATCATCTCTCTGGGTAGCCCTTCTGTGAAGAAATTCTTCCTAATGACCACTCTGAGCCTCCCCTAGCACCGCTCGAGGCTATTTTCTCCTGTCATGTCACTTGGGTCACGTCTATCTGGGAGAAGAGGCCAATCCTCACCTGTCTACCACCTCCTTTCAGGTAGTTGGAGAATGATAAGGTCATACCTGAGTTTCCTCTTCTTCAGACTACACAATCCCAGCTCCCTCAGCCACTCTTCACAGGACTTGTGCTCCAGGCCCTTCACCTTTTTTGTTGCCTTTTTTGGTACACAATCGTCTTTTCTGTGTCCCCCATAACGTCTGTATGCTGCCAGGGCCCCAACCCCAGCCAGGGTCTTCCACGGCTGGAGGCCTCAACCGTACCCTATTCTCATCCCTTCGTATGGGTGCCCAAATCTGCACAGCCCCAGGCCCCCGTGCCCGACTGGACACCCCAGGTGGGCACTCGGACTCCGGCTGGCCCCATCCCTGGGTGAGTGTCACGCAATCACAGGATGGCTCAGGCTGCAAAGGACCACAGTCAGTCATCTGGTCATCCTTGAGCACATGGCACAAGATGATGTCCAGATGGTTATGGAATATCTCCAGTGAGGGAGACTCCACAAACTCTCTTGGCAATCTGTTCCGGTGTGTGGTCACCCGCACAGCAAAGTTCTTTCGCGTACTCAGGTGGAATTTCCTGTACATCAGCTCGTTTCCTCCTGTCCTATTGCCCGACAGCACCGAGCAGAGCCCGGCTCCGTCCTCCTGGTTCCATGGCCTTGGCACCCCCTCTCATGGCCCAAGGCCTGCCCGTGCCTGCCATGAGCCCGGCCGGGCCCGACAGACCCTCCGGCCCCCACCACCGCACGCTCCGCGGGGGGATCGTCCGAGGCCTCACGCACCCCCGGCCCCCCTGGTCCCCGCCTCGGCCCGCCCCGCTCCGCTGGCCCCGGCCCCGGCCCCGCTCACCCCCACCCCGCTCACCATCCTCGGCGCGGCCCGGGGTTACCATGGGCAACTGCGTCACACCCACCCCGCGCGCCGACGTGCCCGCGCCGGGGGAGGAGCCAGGAGTGGGGCCCGCCCATAGACCGCGCATGCGCACGAGGGGCCCCCTTCCGGCCAGGTGGGCGCGGCCGCTCGGGGCTCTGTGGTTGGCTGAGGGCGGCCACGCGCCGGAGCGCGGGGGCGGGTGAGCGACACGTGGGCGGGAGGCGGGAGAGGGGCCCGGGACCGCAGGTGGGACACGTGGGGACGCGACGGGACGGGCAGGGCAGCGGCGGGGGTGTGCCGGGCCGTGCCGAGCCGTGCCGAGCTGTGCCGAGCTGACATAAACCGTGACCGAGCCGCGCTAGAGGTCTGCCGGGGGCTGTGTCGTGCCGGGCCGAGCCTGGGGTGTGCCGAGCTATGCTGTGCCGTACAGAGAAGGGCAAGGAAATTGGTGAAGGGTCTGGAGCTCAAGTCTTATGAACAGTGGCTGAGCTAGGAGTGTTTAACCTGGAGAAAAGGCTCAGGGAGAACTTATTGCTGTCTACAACTACCTTTGAAATGAGCTTGTAGCCAAGTGGGAGTGGGCCTCTTTTCCCAGGAAACCAGCGACAGGACGAGAGAATATAGTCTGAAGCTGTGCCAGGGGAGGTTCAAGTTTGACATTAGTAAGAATTTATACTGGAAAGAACTGCCGAGGGAGGTGGTGGAGTCACTGTCCTTGGAGGTATTTGAGGAACGACTGAACATGGCACTTGGTGCCATGCTGTAATTGACATGGTGGTGTTTGGTTATAGATTGGACTCAAATGATCTCAGAAGTGTTTCCCCACCTAATTCATTCTGTGGTTCTGTGCTGTGCAACAGTGGGCATGTGGTGCAGCACCCTGGGGAGCACGCAGGGCAATGCCATGGCAGTGCAGAGCAACATTAGGGGGATGTGCAGGATGATGCCGTGGGGGGCACAGCACAGTGTGGGGGTGCTGTGCTCTGCACACGTGGGGGCTACAGAGTAGTGCCCCTGTAGGAGTGCCTTCAGGGCAGCCTCGTGGAGGGTTGAGCTGGGCCCTACGGTGCTGTGCAGCACCATACTACCCCAAGGAGAAGGTGCCAGGTGCTGTGGGGTGCAGCACAAGTAGGGCGACCCCAGGCAAGCAGAGTGATGTGTGAAGGAGCAGCCTGACTGCAGTGTTCTGCCGACAGCAGGAGTGCAGGGGCCTCTTGGGCTCAGGGTTGCTGAAAGTCCAGTTGTCCTGTTAAACATAAACCTGCCATGGCTCTCACCCAGATAACTGCTCCTGTAGCCGTGGCAGGCGTGCACTTGATGAGCAAGCAAGGCAGGATCCTACTAAGCAGCCGTTTCCCCCTGCCCAGACCTGTGCCAAGATGGCCACAGTTTCCCTTGGCTTCAACATCGACTCCCCACGCTGGGACCAGAGCACCTTTGTGGGGCGCCTGAAGCACTTCCTCAACATCACCGACCCTCGGACAGTGCTCGTGCCGGAGGAGGAGCTGGACTGGGCTAAGGCCCTGGTGGAGGGCTGCAGGTGAGGGGCAGGGGTACAGATGGGGCAGGTGCCATCCCTGTGTTCATGGCCATCCCAACCACTGTGCAGTGTTGCTGAGGGATGGAGGCAGTCATTCTCAAGCAGGTATGCTGCGATGTAACATCTGTTGGAGGTAATTCTGGGGGGAGTTTCCCAGGCTTCTCCCAGGAGCCTCAAGCTGTGACATGCATCCTTCTGAGGAGATGTTTCCCCTGCCTTTCATGTGGTGCCTGGAACTCTGTGCTTCGGCAGTGCTGGGTGCTGACAGGTCTGTGCAGCTTCCCCTGATAGGCTTTGGGCTTGCAGGGCCGGGCTGGTGCCACCAGGAAGCACCCAGGAGCAGCTGCTCTATGCCAAGAAGCTATACGACTCAGCCTTCCACCCTGACAGCGGTGAGAAGATGAACCTCATTGGGAGGATGTCCTTCCAGGTGCCGGGGGGCATGGCCATCACTGGCTGCATGCTCCAGTTCTATCGGTGAGCTCCTGGGTACACCAGGTTGGGGACACAGCCCTGACAACCCCCAACCCCTCTCAAAGTCCCCAGTGGCCAGAGCACGGTCAGTTTACCTCCTCTGGGGCTGGGTGCTGCCCAATGCATGTTCATGGCTGCTGTGCTTGCCTGTGTCCTGTGGTCAGGCCCAGTGTCTCTGGGCACTGTCTCCAGCACCCAGCCTGTGGTAGAACCATCACAGATCCTCTTGGCATGGGTGGGGATGGTCTTACCTCACCCTGAGTTCAGCTGAGTTCTTCCAAGAGCCCCTGTAACAATTAATACAATCAAATCCTACTTGGCTTCTGCTCTTGTGGCCCATAGCAGTCTTTCAAACTGAGGACCAAATGTGCCCCTTGGCCAGGCTGCTTCAGTATCCCCAGCCCCTGCTGACAGCTCTCTGCATTTCTCTTCTCCACCCCCCTGCATTCCAAAGCATGCTTAGACCCACATCTCCCTATGTCCCTTCCTGCCCCATGTCAGTGTCCCTGGGACACCATTAGAAATCCAGGTACCCTCATTCCCCAGAGCCACTTCTGTCCCTGTGTGTCCCCTCCTTGCTGCTCACTTTGATAAAGGCTTATCTCAGCCCAGCAGAGGATGGATGCCACCCTGCTGAGAGCTGTGTCTCCCACCCCTGCCCAAATGCCTTGCAGGACTGGGCCTCCCCTTCCTATGTTCCCCAGGGCAACCAGAACTCTTGGGACCATTTCCCAGCTCCGCTACTGGCTTGTCACTTTGCCACAGTTCCTCAGTTTCCCTTTGGAGACACTATGATGAGTGGATTGCAGGCATCTTGGCTGTCTCCCTTCCAAGTCTGGCCATGGGCACAGGCCAGGTGTCCCTGACAGCCCTCAGGTGCCCTCCTGGTCCCTTCCCTCTGCAGGACGGTGCCTGCTGTGGTTTTCTGGCAGTGGGTGAACCAGTCATTCAATGCCTTTGTCAACTACACCAACCGCAATGCTGCCTCCCCCATCTCTCTGAGGTGAGCAGGCCCCACAGGATGGAGTGTGTCCATTTGAAGCACTCTGTAGAATCCCCCTATGCCGTGCCTTGGGCACAGAAGGAATAGGGCTGAGTCAGAGTTGGTGATTCTGTTGTCTCCCTTCTTTGAAATTGCTGTCCAGGCAAATCGGGGTGGCTTATGTCACGGCCACCAGTGCAGCCCTGGCCACTGCAGTGGGACTCAACCTCTACACCAAGGTATGCCAGGCCAGGGCCAGCTGGGGCAGCTGGGCACATCTTGCTCTCCTGTGCTGATGCCAGCCTGTTTCCCGCAGCGAGCCCCCCCCTTGCTGGCCCGCTGGGTCCCCTTTGCAGCTGTGGCTGCTGCCAACTGTGTCAATATCCCCATGATGCGGCAACAGTAAGTGTCACGTGTGGCTGGGGCGCTTGAGGGACCCAGCTCGCTCCAAAGGAAAGCTGGTGGCAGCCGGGCTCCTGGGCTGCCTGGCCTCCCTGCCTTGGATTCCCATCCTGGGAACTGGAGGGAGGTGAACTGGGGTCTGTGCATCTGCAGTGCTGTGTCTGTGCTGGAGGGTGCTGGGTGGGATGGCTCAGCTTCCACCTAGAGCAGGAGGGGGATTTTTGGTTGAGGATAGCTGTTCTGGAATCTGTGCTGGAAGATCCCTCAGACCCAAAGATCTCCTGCATGTCGTGGAAGAACCCCAGTCCATGGTATCCTAATGCTGGGACACCCCAGATGGGGTCCTTGTGGTGACCTGTGGCTGCTGCTTGGGATTCCCCACAAGTCCCAGCACAAGGAGCTCGGATGCTGTGTGAGGGACTGTGCCCTGGCTCAGACAGACAGTGTCTGTCCCTAGCACGGCCAGATCCTGCTCACAGCTGTGCCCTGAAGATGGCAGCATCGGCTGGGCTGGGGACCGCGGTGCCCCGGGATGCTGGAGCCCCGTGCCCTGGGGGCATCTGGGGCTGCTGTGCATAGAGGACTCCCCTGGCACCCACTCACCCAACTGCTGTGTCCTCATGCTTTCTCCACTCACGGCTGCCTGTCCCCTTCAGGGAGATCATCAATGGGATCACAGTGACAGATGAGAACAGCAACGAGCTTGGCCGCTCCAGGGTGAGTCTGAGGATGTGGATACAGGTTGGGGCACAGCACAACCAGGGCTCACCTGCTGATTTTCCTTGCAGAGGGCGGCAGTGAAGGGCATTGCGCAGGTTGTGTTCTCCAGGATCACCATGGCAGCACCGGGCATGAGTGAGTGTGGGGCAGGAGGGTGTGCAACTGAACTGGGGACTCTCCAGGACCCACCACCTTGCCCTCCCCTGCTTCAGTTTCCTTCGTGAAGAAGAGGGAGGGTGACCATGCATCCCTGCACATTTGCTCTTCTCATCCAGCCATTCCCATCAGAGGCCCCCAGCCCCCTCCATGCCAAACCACAGCCCAGGAGACAGGGGTTGCTCCTATGGCAGTTTGGCCCTACAGGGATGCATCTCGTGCTCTCTGGCCCTAGCCCCTCACCCTGCAGCCTAGCACCCCCTCTGCTCCTTAGACCCTTGACATGCTGCAAGCCAAGAAGGAAGCACAGGAGCATGAGGAGCACAGACCATGCTGCCCAGGTGATGGATATGTGGGTTCTTGTGTCAGGTTCTTGCTGTCAGCAAACACCCAGTAGCTCCCAGCATAACTAGCTGCTGCCATGGCCTCCAGGTGGGTGGTCCTGCTGGGACAGCCCTGCAGGCTGGCTAGCAGGATAGCTGTTCTGGGATCTGGGCTGACCTTTGCTCTCTGTGCCTAGTTATTTTGCCTGTCATCATGGAGCGGCTGGAGAAATTCACCTTCATGCAGGTGAGTGCATGTTTCTCCTGCCAGTGAGTTCTGTGGTGCCCCAGCCCTGCTTCCCAGCTGCTGATATGCTTGGGATCAAATGGGAAGTTGCAGACCCTGGCTTGCTTTGCTCCCTACTTCAGTCATTGATACGCCAATGGCCTCTCAAGTGGGGGAGGCTATGGGAGGGTGGCAAAGTTTGGTGCACACCAGAGGTGTTGGGCATTCAGCCCTACTG